AACAGACAGACAGAAGCCATTGCTCGAGTGGAACCGGGCCGAAAGGGAAACGATGAGTTGATCGTCATTGCAAGGGTGACTTGGAGGAGGTCATGTAAAGAGGAGATGAAAGCATGTGGGCAGACTTGGAGCGGAGTGAAAAAGTTGGCAGAAAACCGAAGGCAATGGAGATGCGCAGCTGAAGCCCTATGCTCCTCTAAGAGTTAAAGGATATAATAATAATAATATTAATGTTATGTTATAAGCGTTGTAGTTAGGGTTAGTGTTACGTTTAGAGTTATGATCAGGATTAAGGTTAGGGTTACGCCTAGGGATGGATTTAGAATTGATATCGTTTATTTTAATTTGTTTTCGCATCCACATTCGTCGTCGGTCCTCTTACTGGAAACCATAGTAATTCAACCAAGGGATCTTGGAGAAGACTGCACAACATGATGAAAGAGATAAAAACAAATTCACAAAAATAACTCATCTTTAGTCACCTAGGTGAATACTCATGTATAGAACCTAGTCTAACTTAGCAACTGATACTTCTCATTATAACTGGAGCGTATTTTTAAGTCATGTTAGAAGAGAAAGAGATACCCTGTTTTACCTGTTTTCAAGCATTTTCTTGTAAATATACGTCATGTTTTTGTGTGTGCAAAAGTCACTTATTTTTATGATTGGCTGGCTGAAGGTCACTCGTGCATTCTCATTGTTTTGGGATGCTATTGTTGAACTTTGCTATATCAATCATGTTGATAGAATATTATCACCCACCGGTAATGACTAGAGAGAGAGAGCGCGCAACCCGATATTCTCTGTCAAGTTCTAATAATCCTACTGAAAATGTGATACGGAAACGTCTCTTAGCTCAAATGGTAGGGTACCGTCAGACCAATTAAATTTTTTTTGAAAGGCTGTTTCGATTCCTAGTTTTCAATAATTTCATTCCCAATCCCTATCAATCACTAACAAATAATGAGGCGAAGTTAAAACTATCGTAGTTAAAATCACAAGAATCTTGAACGAACTTATATCGTTATATATATATATATATATATATATATATATATATATCGTTGAATGAACTTATATCAAATCTTGAACGACACCAATCAAAATTCATATGCAAAGAAGACTGCACAACATAACCCTACCTAAAAGTACGGAAAAAGCTCCTAGGGAATATGTAGAATACTAATATCTGCCTTCGCCAAATCCGAAAAGACAGGCATGATTGAATGATTGGAATGACCTTGCATTGCGCTCCCTAACCACGATTGGTTCTTGAAGGTCAGCTTTTGACAGACTTTGGCCTTTACTATGATATAGTTTGATTTCGTCAATCGAATGTTAAATAGATTGGATTGTGTATTTCTCCTGTGATCTTACCTCAGATACAACTAGAATGCGGCACTGATATTTGGTTGAGTTCTTACTTTTCTGATAATAAAAGCAGTATTATGTTTACAACAGGAAGTCATCTGCTGCTGCTGCTGCATTTACTCTGACTAGCATTCGTCAAGGTGATGTACTTTCTCCTTTTCTGTTTTCTTTCTTCTTAAATGACTTCCTTGTCTTATTCGAATGAAAGTCTAATCTGAGTGCTTCCACAAATTACTTTTCCCTCAGTCAGACTTCTGTTTTTTGTGTCTCCCTCACTTTTGAATTTCTCTTTAGTTTCTTCTCTTGCTTGGTGTGCCAAAAGGACAGGGAGCGGTAACTCGAAATGCTGCAAATCTATACAAAGTAGTTCTAAGTTGACACCTGTCAATCGATTCAAACCGACTGTCTGTTAGAGACTTCAATGACTGATGAAGCACTACCAGCTCTTTACCAACCTGATACTATGTCAGTCAGACAAGATTTCCCGTCGAGGAAGCCAATGGTTAGGAATGCATAACACGCCTGTCCTAGCCATATCAACCGACGTAACTTTACAACCTCGTCGATTGAGTTTTCCCCCCTCCTTAACATGCGACTGAAACCTAACGCCCCGCTCTCTCTCTCTCTCTCTCTCTCTCTCTATATATATATATATATATATATATATATATATATATATTATGCCACCTAACTTGTGGGAGAGAGAATATAGCTACCATCATCTATCATCAAAGATAGCAGTCGTCGGCATATCTCATATTTTCAATGACCATGCCAATCAGAGAAGTTAACTAAGCCCCAAATATGAGGACAGTTATTTATCATTAAAAAGGACTTTTTTGTCCCAGGAAGAAAGTATACTACTAATTTTATTGGCGATAAACTCTGTATGTATGGAAGAACCTGGCCATTGAAAGTGGAAGACATGAAAAGACTGGTTAGCTGTCTTTCATCATAGGTTCCTGCGTTCTATCTCCCATGTGAAGTGGCATAATAAGGTGAACAATATTGAGTTAGGCGTCGAGTTCTAGGTAAACACGGGAAATCAATCGACGAAGTCGTGAAGTTACAAAGACTGAGATGGTTAGGACATGTGTTACGTATGCCTAGTCATCGTCTTCCTCGACGGGCAATGTTAGCTGACATTGGATCAGGCTACAAAAGAACTAGCGGCGGTCAAACCAAAGCATGGTTTCAACAGTCAATTAAATCCACAGCGGTTCGTTCAAGGCAGTCAAGTAGAAAGGTGTAGACTGCCTGACTAATTTGGTTGGGGTCCACGGAACGATAAACACCAATTGATGATATGGCTCAAAATCGTTCTCAATGGCTGGGACAGATGCATCCACTCCGTGTGACTTATGATTTCCAATGAAACTGTTTTGTTTTTAGTTATTACTCTTCCTTTGTCTCACACCTCTGTTCACTGTCCCTATTATGCATTTCTTCTACTTCCTTCTCTTGCTTTGTGTGCTACATGGAAGGAGTGTGGCGACTTGAACTGCTGCACATGTGTGCAAAATTTCTATGTCGGAAACAGACAGACAGACAGTCAGAAATGGAAGAATATTCCTACTTATCATTAAGATATTTCGTATTTTCTGTTGAAAGATTTCTACTGCACCGAAATCCTCGATTCTTGTTGACATGTTGACTTCTACTATGTAGTTGATTGAACAGTTTGAATGTGTATTCATAATTTCTTGACGGAGACAGCCTAACCGAGTGGTTTAATAAAGAAGCACACGGAAACATTGAAGAGAAAAGCTGAGACTATGACAGCACGGAATAGAAACCTCTACTTGTTAGGTTACAATTTAATGGCCATTTGTCAAGTAACATTTTATTCAAAAGACTTTCCAGGAATCTATATGAAGAAGTTTTAGTGTAGCAAACCTAAGGTTGTTTTTACGAGTTGATCACGGATTAATATCAGTTAGAGGACCATTGGAAACCAGACACAGGCAGAACTGGACAGCTGTTTCATACCAACAGTTCGGGAATCATCACCAGTACGCATGCACCACCAGGGTTTGAATGCAAGACCTTCTGGTTACAAGGAATGCTCGTATACCAGTCAGCCACTGGAACCCGATTCAATGGCCAGTCCATGAATTCTAACTTCTACCAATTCGTGATTTGGTGCGACCACCAACCAAACAATGGCATCGATGGTTCAATGGTTCTCTAACTGATATCAATCTATGATCAACTCGTAAAAACAAATCTACTCCTTGCAAACCAAGCATTGAAAACCTATGTTTGTCATTCTCTCGCCGACGACTGATTGAGACGCAAACGAAAGGATAGGTAGCTAGATAGTTTTGCCACACATCTATATGCATTGATCAATTCAACTGAACCTGTGGTGACAGATTTTGTTGGACATACTAACACTAGACAGCTTAGCCAGCCAACATGTTACTGAACATTTCCCATCGTGGTACAAAAACAATCCGTAACTCCACTTTTTCATATTTAATTGATAATGGTCATGTAGTGGAGAAAACCAGACCTTTCCTCTGAATCTTTTCAATAATCTTCGTATTCGTCTACTGCATATGGCTGAGGCAATAAGCATTCGAACAACTATTAAGCCTAAATTATGCATTCTATAGAAGTTCGTATAGCCATTATCTTTCCCCTTTGATGCATTAAGACATAACCAACTGGGAACTTCTCAACTATCGCTTACTTATATTTTGAATTCTTCCCTCTCTTATCATCCCTTAATCGTGTCACAACTTCATTAAAGAACGTGTTTCATTTACTTCCCTTACAATCTAGCATTATTTAATCGGTTCATTTGTCTTTACTAGCCTTTATCGACTACTATGTCTACCTGAACATTTGTTTATTTAATGATGCTGTTTTTCATTATTCGTGTTATCACAGATTCCTCAATTTTTCATCGTTATTATTGATAAAACCATTATTATTATTATCATTACTACTATCATGACTAATTGCACAATTTATATGCACCATCTTACTATCCTGTGAACAAATCATTCTGATTGGTTTATATTTTAACACTTATTTGTAAAGTTATGTAAGTATATTGGAGTTAGGCCGAATGAGAGCCAATCGAAAGTACAGACAGTATCACTCACTCACTGTTCGCTTAAATATGTTGTTCTAAGTAATATGAAAACTAGCATCAGGTTGACCCTAGTCGGTCAGTCACTGCAATGCAATGATATCATCCACAGTGGATAACTTCCGTATGGGATGAAACTAATAAACTCGTCGCCCCCACCTACCCACCCAAATAAGCGCGACAAGGCCATCTAGCGTTCAGACCACTTGATTAATCGCCTTAGCAAGCTCACTACACTAGTTGATATACACGTCCAAGTGTTGGTTTGCAGGGATTTGGTTGGTTACATGATTTTCATCATGAGCTGACATTAGTTAGAGGACCATCGGAAAACCTGGGAGTACTGGACAGCTGTTTCGTCCTAGTTCGGGACTCTTCAGCAGTACGTACCCACCGGAATTCGAACCCAGGACCTTCTATAAATGTGATATCCAGTTATATATTCAGTACAATCAATCAATCAACTAGTCAGCAGTATATAGCATGATACAACAATTTTAACCCCCCCCTCTCTTGATAGATAACTTACCTTCCTTAGTAGAATCCGTAGATAAAAATATATTATAGATATGATGCTCTTCATATTGATTAAATATTCTTAAAGCATTAAGAATTTGTTGAGCTGTACCAAAAGTATCCAAAGATGATTTGGTTGTTGGCAGCGTAGCAGAATCACTAGCAGTAGCAGCAGTAGTCATTGTTTCAACGGAATCCATACCACCACCACCACATACCATCAGCAGGAGCAGGATTAGAGATAAAATCACCCCGTCTCCAATGGACAGCAATATACGGTCCACCAAGTGCTGGAGATAATGGCCATTTTGAGTGTAACCATTCAGATCCTGAACCTAGTTGTTCAATCATTAAAGGTGAAACTGTACGATCCATAGTATCATACGAGTGTAAATACGCCGCACGATAATTATCACCGATATCACGTAAATGACGTGCAAAGATCATGCTTCGACGCGCCTAAAAAATAAACAAACACATACAGACACACACATAAACAAACAAGAAATCTAAAGAGGCATAATGCCTTTTTGTAAAGATAAACAGGAAATAAATAGGGTGAATTATGTATTTGGTTTAAATTGAATTTTTAGATTTATTTTCGTTGATCGATGATTGGATTGATATGTTTAGCCCCAGTTGACATGTTGACTCCTAGCACGAATGCCTCGACGATTTCTTAGGATTTTAACGCGGAAGTAATTTTTTAGTGGATACTGACTAGCAATAGAATTGACCAGGATGACGCATTTCGCTTTTGTGTGAAGCTCGTCATTTCGATGTACTAGCATTCCTCAGTGAGTGATGGTGTTTGCACTGAGACTTAAACACAACAACCAATCAGTCCCAGCTCCAAGGCATTTCAGCACTAGTGTAACGATGGAAGATAAGTGCCAGGCAACAGATCATTGATTGAGAAAATCACCAGATATTTATAGGTTTTTATGTTATTAGATAGTTGGAGGCAATCGGCCACAGGAAGCCTTCTCGGGACCTAGGTTTCGTGCTAATTGGCACCCACTAGTCTGCAACCTGAAGGAACTCGTGTCCCTTCTGAAATTCAAAGTCGAAGGCCAACTAGCACGAAACCTAGGTCCCGAGAAGGCTTCCTGTGGCCGATTGCCTCCAACCATCTAGTATCATCAAACCAATGAGCACCATGATGGCCAACTACATAGAATGGTGGCCAAATTGCAAACCTGACTGAAAGAATTCAGTCTGCACCAAAGAAAGGACTAGATACGTCACACTAGTTGCTGGTATCCAATCAAAGTAGATTTTTATGTACATTATTATTCGTTATTGTTAGCAAAGAAACAGCGTCTCCTGATAAATCGTTTCCTCGCTGAAGGTTATTCTCCCATCTCTTTGTGACCATTGCCTTGAAGGTTACACCATATATCTGCGAATCGTATCCACCCACGCAAGTTCCGCCGTGATTGGTTGTTGAGTTAGTCTTTCTTCTTGGGTTTTTTTCTCATGACCAAGATTTGGGATGTCAACACTGACGTAAATTGCTGTCTACCAAAATTTTGGCTAACAGACAGACATCTGTCACCACACTAGTAGCCAACAAGTTAACACACGCTGAACATTTCGCTCCAATCATCAACCAACGGGAAAATCTAAATTGAACAATAACTGACACCTGCTGTTGCATAAGAGATGGCTGGCTCTCGTGACCCAAGTCGTCTATCTATCTAGTAGATAATGCTTTCATATTTGAAACAATAAATACTGGATAGGCGCCTTCTTGAGGACATTATCACTTCCAGAGAAGAAGTGACGGTTTGTCCAGAGACGGTGAGCCAATCCCAAGTAAAACCAAATGTGTTAGTCACTGTCCATTAATCTTTACTATAAGTAAATTATTGCTGGACAGACACCCTAAGATATTCTTAACCTAGCAGACTGAATTTCCTCTTTTCATTCCTTCTGTTCAGAGTGGAACATAATGCCGGCGGCTTTGACTGATGATTGGCTTCACAGGTGACAGCGTTCTATCTCCCATGCTAGACGACATGATAAAGAGAGTAATATGAGGGTGTCAGGCATCAGTTACATGTTACGGAAGGAGGAAAACTCAATCGACGAGGTTGTTAAGTCATATCGATTGATATGGCTAGGACACGCGTGTTACACATTCCTAACCTCCTCTTCAAATCACGGAATATACACATTGGGTCATAGGAGTTATTAAGAAGACAATTGCAGCGAAGAAAATTTTCTTTTCGACGAAGTCATCATCTAGGCTGTACATTCGTGTATTTATATCAGATGGATGGGAAAGTTCCAGAATAATTTCCAGTTAAGGGTCAAATTAATAAAAATTAAAATTAGGAATTAAAATGCCATAATAAACAGGGGGACGGATAAAACTCAAACAAAGTAGCATCATAATAACTAAGAAGATTGACATTGTGCAATTGGGGCTTAGAAATGTAGAAATAACAAAATAGACAGGATGTTTGGATAAAAACTAATGTGATGAATAATTGTTTATGCAATCAGGGATTAAATATGTAGAAATAGTAAAATGACAAAATAAACACGAAGTTCGGGTATGAAAATATGGTAGTGTAAACAGGGATTAAGAAAAACTTAAAATAACATGAATAAACAGGAAGTTTAGGTAAGAAAGGCGATGGGATGGTCATTACTAAAAAAATTTACCTGTTTATGATGGCCATGTCAGGGACAGGGGTTGGACATATTTCTTTTGGATACAAAGAGTGGGTTTGAGCTTTTGGATAGCTAGTGCCTCGGCTATGCCCAGATGTCTTGATTTCACTCCCTTTGATAGGTTTGATTGAATCTTGTATATTACTTTGAAGGATTTTTCGAAAGGCGCTGAATGTCCTGAATTGACCAGATGTTCTGTCACTGAACTGTATACACGCTTTTGCTCTCCTTTTACTAACCAGGCTGGGTAGTGTTCACGAGCGTGGTTTTCAAGTCGGCACATGGTACGGCCAACGTACTCAGCTCCACAAGAGCAAGTAAACTGGTATATGCACGTTGAGGTGGCCCAATGCGACAGGTTGTCTTTCGCGTTCTGGCTGAACAGTTTCTTGCAGGAAAACGTCAGTCTTAGGCTCGCGGTGAAGTATGTTTTCCTCAGCGACTTGGAGAGGCGTTTACGAAGGATTTCTGCTTCAATATCACCTTTGAATTCTAGATTAAGCAGAAGTATTTTCTTTGGAACGGATTGGACTTGTTCGGAAATCTTCTTAGATTTGAGACTCCTTTCTATGAACCTGGATGGGAAACCGTTTTCCATCACGGTTTTTCGAAGATTACGCAGTTCTTCTTCAACCACTTCCTCGCTGCATATCTTCCGAATCCTCGAGGAAAGAGTTTATAGAGGTTCCTCTTTCTACTCAGAGACACGAATTTTTGAAAGTTGATGAATTGTCCATTCCATGTAGGCTTTTTGTATATGGACCTTTTCAGAGAGTTGTCATCGTTTCTTGTCAGATGGACGTCGAGGAAGTGGAACATTCCTAACCATTGGCTTCCTCGACAGGAAATCTTATCTGACTGACATAGGATCAGGTTGGTAAAGAGCTGGTAGTGCTTCATCAGTCATTGAAGTCTCTAACACACAGCCGGTTTGAATTAATTTACAGGTTTCAACTTAGAACTACTTTGTATAGATATGCAGCATTTCGAGTTACCACACCCTGTCCTCATAGCAAACCAAGCAAGAGAAGTGAGTAAAGACAGATTCAAGAGGCAGAGTGAGAAAGAGGTAATAAAGACAAGTGTCAGCGGGGTAAAAAGAATAGTAATATAGAAGAACAATAGCATTTTGATGGATATTATAAGCCATAAAGAGTGAATCCATCTGCGCCAGCCATTGAGAACAATTCTCAGGCACGTCAACAGTTTTCTCGCCATTTTTTCGTTTGACCATCACTAGGTAGCTCTTTTCCAACCTGATCAATCTTATGTCAGTCAGCTAACATTCACAGTCATCGAGGAAGGCGACCGACGGCTAACCATGCATATATACTTAACACATGTCCTAACCATCCCAATCAATCGATGCAGCTACTTTTCAAACTCGTCGCTTGATTCACCCCCGCCCCCTCCTTATCAAGCACTACACCGAAGCTAATCCTCAATATTTCTCACCTCATTACACCTACCACTCAACATCGGAGACAGAACACAGACACCTATGATCAAAGACAACTAACCGGCCATTTCAAATCTGCCACTTTCAATTGTCATGTCTCACTGACAGACATAAAGAAAAACAGAGTGAAGTGCTGCTGAACAGTACACACATCCTTTGGTCAACGGGTGGTTATTACACTGAAGCTTTAAAGTTTCTGTAACAATGGCGTTTTTATGTTTATACACGATGAGGTGGGGTCGCCAACATAACAGTCAACCTTCCCTTTTTTTGTGGTTTCGCTATTGGCTAGTGAACAATATGAGGTGGGTTTAAGAGTGGAATTGAATCCGGACTACATGAGTACCATCTAGTGAGTATTGAAATAATGAACCAACACAGCATATACTCTGAGAAGTCGATTTATATGTATAATAAACTCACTGTCCAATATTCTTGACTCCATTCACTCCAATGTCCATGAATAATAGACTGAGCAGAGCCTAAATATAACGTGCTGTGTGTGTGAAGAAAAGACAATAAAGATTACGAATATATATAAAGTAGGTTTTGGAAAAATAGAAGACGAACTCATAAAAATGCCATGAAGTGATAATGTTTTAATAATAATAATAATAATGATTTACTTTATTCCAAAAACAGTACTTGTGATACAGAATGGAATTTTCAGCATTAATCACAATATTACTCCATCTAATTTCCTCAAATTATAAATAAAAATTAATCACAAAGAAAAATTTTCCACATTTACAATAGAGGTAGTGTCAAAAACATGCTGCATATAAAATGGAAATAACAATAATAATGATAACAGCTAAGGTAATAATAATAATAATGATAAAAGTGAAAATTACCGTGGGCTTGTTTCACACAGTATTGTCGATGCGGTATAGAAATCCTAACATGTTTAAAAGGTATTGAATATAATGTTCTCATTATATGATATGGTGAGGGGAAAAATAGAGATTACAGAAGTCATGGAGATAAGTTGGTGTTTGCAACTATGAGAGTAAAACAAAGAAGCAACAGGACCATAAATATAATCGAAATAATAAAAGTAAAACTTCAAGGTATATAAGGATGGACGGAGGAAACTGATTATTTACTAGATGAAAAAAGGTTAGTTAATTGTTGCCTGACACTATTTTCATTACACAAAATACGTGACAAGTACGGTATCATAGAATTTTTATACTTAGACGTGCGAGCATACAGTTTTCTGAAGTTACTCCTTGTTCTACCTGAGGAGATGCAAGGTGAAAGCTGAGGGTAAAGTGGATGCTCCAAGTCAGACAAAATCCCTTTAGCAAGTTTATTGCACGAAGTCAAGTGCCTATCGACAACGATGTTAACTATGTGGTCCACTGCGACATCACTCACCCTACTGACTATCTTCAGCATTCTACGAATTGTGACATAGTCTTTTATATGCAAACCAGGAAAGAATAAGCAGGGGTGAACAATAAAGAAGAATAGGTAGGATGCAAGAGTTTATGAACAGTAAGAGGAAGGGTTGAGTTATACTCGAGTGCCTTAACTTGTTAATGTAAAATGTCAGGCGGAATATTTTACTGGAGATCGCTAAGACATGGGAAGTCTAGGAGAGATCAGAAGAGAGAATAAGTCCAAGATACTTAATTTCTGATTTGATTCCTATATCATTGTCGTCAATCTTACAACTGTCATGAGAACCGATGACTTCTTTTAACTGTCTTTTACATCTTAAGCTGAAATTAACAGTTTGACATTTAGAAGGATTCAGTTTAAGACTGTTAGACTCAGACCATTTGCTGACTCCCGAGAGAAAGCTATTTATTTTAGTACAATCTATCTGGGAGTTAACAGCCATTGAAACCGTTAAATCATCGGCGTACTTCACAAAGTTTATTTCATCAGAGTGAGGCAAGTCATGTAAGAAGAAAGAAAAAAGAAAAGGAGAAAGGACAGAGCTTTGAGGGACACCAGCTTCAGTAGGCAATGAAGTGGAAGACTTCCCTTTATACACGGTGTACTGCTTTCTTTCTGAGAAATAGGAATGTAACCAGTTAACAGCCCAACATTCTGTTTGACTAGCAGCAAGTTTATTTAATAAGATGTCCCTAAGGACCGAGTCAAAAGCAGATGTGTAGTCTAGAAAGGCATAACGAACAAATTTAGCCCCCTTATCTAGACTGGAAGCAATGTTATGATATAAAACGGCAGCCGCATCTAAAGTTTACCAGATTTCCACATGACCTGCTGACATCGGTTAGAGTGAGATACAGAACAATTGTAAAACTACCAAGAACTAATAGACAGCCAGTTGTGTTTCGTCAGCTTAATTTGGTAGTGTTTATCACTACGCGAGCCCACCACCCACCAGGGCTCGAACCCATGAATTTCCGGTTACAAGGCAAGGTTGTAAACCATTTAACTACTGAAACAGGATACAATCCACGATAATAGAATAAGGTTTTAATTCATCGATAATCCCCATCCAGGCATTAACGGAAACAAAACACGTAGATTAGCGAAGAGTCTCTTTTCGTAGGCGAATTCATTTTCTTAACTGTACAATCTAAAATATATATATATATATGTTATTTTGTATGCATGTGTACATTAAGTTTGTCAAACAAAATTACAATTGGTAATGGTTATTTCAACTAAACAGGTGAACGTTGGTAACATACAAGTCAAGAAAATTAAGTGTTAATGAAATTAGGGTATTAACAAAGGTGATGAGTTGTCACAAACAGTTGTTAAAAGAAGTTATGTAATAATAATATGAATACTTTGATGAGTGAGTTTTACTCAGGATGCACATAGAAACAACAAAGTAGATAATACGAAACTATGTAAGAGATCTAAATGAATACAAGAATTATAAGGAATTAAAGAACAGGCAAAGAAACAAAATTAAGTCATCAAAATAAAAATAAAATAAAAACTCAAAACAAATCAAAATATTGTTACCATGAGAGTAGAAGTGGTTGAGTAATCTTCTTTTGTATGCACAGCTCCGACTTCCTATCTGAATGGCCAGAGCTTCAGCGATACAAAGGAGACGAAACCGTATTGCCTTTGATAGGTTATTCTTGACTCTGTAGATTACCACTTTGAAGGGGGCGTTTGTTGAAATGCAATGATCAGTGTTAACCAAGTGTTCAGTTATCGCACTCCTTATTGCACCACTATTGCCTTTTCGCAACCATGCTGGCTGGATAGTGTTCTTGAATCCTCTTGGACTAGGTGTGCGTTGAACGACCGATGTACCTGGCTCCACAGAAGCAGGTGAACTGATATATGCACATGAAGTGGCCAAATGCGGGATCTTGTCCTTGAGGCTTCTGAAGATCACTGGGCGACTGGAGAACACTATTCTTAGCGTTGATGCAAAGAATTTTCTTCTCAGAGATGATGTGATTCTTCTCTTGAGAATATCGCTTGCTGAATCTCCCTTGAAATCCAAGTTCATGTAGAGTTTCTTTTTAGGCGCAGTAAAAGTTTCGTTTCTTCAAAGTATTGGCTTCATATTTGTGTCGATGAATCTTATTGGGTATCCATTTTGGATGAGAATTTCTCCTAGAATATCTAATTCTGTTTCCAGAACGCCGGGACTACAGATGCGTCGGATGCTGGTGGCAAGTGATTTAATTAAATTCCGCTTTTGTTGAATGGGTACCCAGCTATAGAAGCTTGTTAGTTGACCATTCCACGTAGGTTTTCTATGGATTGATCTTCTTAGGCTCCCATCACCTCTTCTTGTTAGTTCCACATCAAGAAACGGAATTTTTGACTCGTTTTCCATTTCAAGAGTGAATTTCATTGCTGGATGGCAACAGTTAAATGTCTTCAATAAATTGGGGTCATTGTTGTTGTCACAAATAATGAAAATATCGTCTACGTATCTTTAATACAGTCGCAAATTGTCAGTGCTTGGCTTTAGTGAACCTCTCTCGAGGCTTGCCACGAAGCAACCTGATAGTAGTGGACCCAACGGAGATCCCATTGCAATACCATCCTTTTGTCTGTAGATGGTGTCGTTGAATGTGAACTGGACGTTCAGAGCGCATCTCAATAATAATTCTTTTAAGTATCTTGTCGGTATTTCAATATCGAGGTGGTTGTCATCTATATATCTGCATATGAAGTAGACCATTTCTGTGAGTGGGACATTGGTGAAAAGTGACTCAATGTCGAAGGACAGCATAATTTTGTTAGATACATTCATGTCTTGTATGCACTCGATGAACTAGAAGGTGTCACGGAGCGAGTGCGTACATAATTGCTTCCTTACAGGTTCCAGAATATCTGCTAGCCATTTTGCAATAGAGTGGTAAGGGTAACCTGACATATCCAGAATTGGACGATGTAGGAGACCAGTCTTGTGTACCATTTGGTAGACCATAAAGTCTTGGTATTATTGGATCTGTTGGTCGGATCTGGTCGTAGATATCCCCACTGATTAGTTGACTGGCCTTCATTCTCTTCAAGACGTCTGTGAGCTGCTTCTCAATCTGTTCCGTCTTGTTTCTTTCATTGGAAGGTTGGAAAAACTTATCTTCATCCGACAGTATATCGTTCATTTTCTCGATGTAGTCTCTCCGATTCAGAAGCACTACACCAGCACCCTTGTCGGGCCGAGTTATAAGCAGATCTTTGTTATCTCTCAACTGTTTTAATTCTTCTCGGTGCCGCTTCGTTAGGTGGTTGCGGACTTTTGATTTTGTATTCAAGTATTGGTGGCAACAGTTCACGATTGTTGACTTGAATCTCTGTAATTCGTCTACAGAAGTTGGGCTGAGATAGTTCGTTTGGCTGATTAGATTTTCAAACTGGACCTGAGTATGAAGTTTGTCGGCGTTGGAATTTATAACGCAGAATTTTGGGCCCAGAGATAGGACTTCCAGTTGCACGTCGGTTAAACGTACTGAGGAATAATTGAACACAAATTTTGTGGGTTCGTCAGGAAATTTGCCTTGAGGTTTCATCTGCTTAAGGCTGTTGTTGAGCTGGGTTACGACAGACTGTGACCGTTTATTTGCAACCAAGTCGATATATTCGGTGAATCTTTGACATTCGTCCTAAGTCAATTCGTATAAGGCAGAGGACCTCTGATTAATATTCCGCTGCAGTTCGGGTATATGTGATCTGATAGAATCAGTACAATTCATTGCATGGCGTTGAAGGGACTTCGTATTTGGATATATATGATTGCGTCGCAGTGCTTTCCAGAACCACTTTGGATACTGATGATTCGCTACGCAATCCTCGAAAAAACCAACTTTCGCTTTCCCCACAGCAAGCTTGACAGAGTACCGCAGACACCCATTGAGTTCCTTGACTGTCGAGGGGTCCTTGCTACGTTGCAATTCATGGATAATCCTCATCCAGGCATTGATGAAAACAAAACACGTAGATCAGCGAAGAGTCTCTTTTCGGCGAATTCGCCGAAAACAAACTTAATGTACACATACATACAAAACAACCTATATATATATATATTTGCGGTTGTACGGCTAAGAAAATGAATTCTCCACCAAAAAGAGACTCTTCACTGATCTACGTGTTTTGTTTTCAATAATGTTTCAAGCATGATAATATCCCGTTATTGAATTGAATTTTTGATTTTCCCGTCGATTGATTGGATTGGTTCAATAATTAATATGACCCGTTGCACAAGAGGTGGCTCTCGTGGCCCAAGTGGTCTAGTGGATAACGCTTTGGCGTTTGAAACTATGGGTACTGGGTTCGAGCCTCAGTGGGAACACCATCACTCACTGAGAAATGCAGGTACATCCATCTGACGAGTCCCAAATAGGACGAAATGCGCATCCTGGATTCCACTGCTAGCCACCATCCACCAATGATAATATCCCGGATACATAAAATGTCATTCGACAAGTTAAATGGCAGTAATCAAATCGTTAACCCTGTTATATTTACGTTGAATCAATGAGAGAAAGAATAACAATTATGCAACTTTTGTTTAAAGCGATACAAATGTGGCGGCTTATTGACCTAAGCTCTGTCTCCCGCTTGCTCGCTCGCTCTCTATCTCTTGTTCAACTTACAGCCAATAATATTTCAGAGGTTCCAATCCCACTCCAAAATATATATTTCAGCCTAGTCAGCCAGAGATTATCATTCAACATCCCTGAAACAAACATTTTTGCGGTATGCTTCACTGTAAACCTCAAAAGTGCACAAGTGATTATATCACATCCCATACAATTTACCAATTTGTGTGTGTGTGTGTGGGCATACATACATAGGGAGGAGTAGTCGCGCTTTGCACGTGAGGGTGGGAGAGCATATCCCAAAATGGTTAGAAAAACAGATGAATTGTGACAAGCGAATGGATGCAGGTGTCAGACTACCAAATTCGTCTATAGCTAAACATCTAATCGAGATGAACCATTAGATTGATGTTAACTCAGCCCTTAAGATCATCTATAAAAATGGTCAAGGGCGTTTACTGAAATGCGCTGAGGCTATAGCTATTCAAAGACTTAAGCCCCCCCCTGTGTATTCAAAAACAGTTTGTCATTACTCTTAACCTACCTTGGTGATCCTTATTTGATTGGATTACCAAACGTTTGTGTTAATTATTCTTAATTCTTTTTTTTGTTGTCACTTTGTTTAATTTAACTTTTCCATATATATTGACTTGACAAGTAAATGTGTGATGAGATTGTTCGAAATGTATAGCGCTAATACATCACATTTTTCAGATAATCTCCGTCTTCTAATAACGCTATCAAAATTTTTGCGGTAGATATGTTCGCGTCATTATTGTAAAATAATTTGTAAGGAAGGAAAGGTACCTGTGGATTGATTGTAAGAAAGCCTGACTACTCATTATAATAAAGGCTTTTGTATTGCCTAATGAATAAAAAACAAAACGATATTGTTGTCTTTGCTGATGATTCGCTTATTTAATGCTGCTAATAGCTTCAGAAATCACAAACAACGTCTAATATCAGAAGTACTTCATATCAAGTGGAATTCAAATTGCCTGAACTGAATAGGAATGATGGACTAAAACAGAATCTGACCTGGTTACAACACCTCCTTCCCCTCCCCCATGAAGTGACAAAATCAAAAAGAATGTGATGAGCAATTTGAGTATGTAAACATACGCTGTTTTATAGTTTTGCACACTTATCAAATCCAACAATCTACACTTGGTTTTGTTATCTTTACCAATTCACCAATTTGACAACGAAAAATGACTCCAGGTTGACGTATGATGATCAAGTTAGTAAACTTTATTTTGATATCATAACTGATGTACTATTGTGGTGAGAGCAGGCTGCTAGCCGATTGGTTGGCACTAATCTACGTTGAGGTCTAGGTCACTAATATGGGCCGTGAGAAAATATGAACAAGGCTGAGTCAACAACCAATCACAGCAAAGTTAACGTGGCAAAATATGATTCGCAGATAGAGAACTCTATTTGTCAAGGAATCCCGAAACAACCAATCAGAAGCCTGCGTTTGTCTACCTAACTTCTGATAAACAACCAATCAGATGACTGCGCTTGTCTATAATAATGTAGTTGAAATATGTATAAATACGTGTTGATTTTCATAATAAAACGATCTGTTGCTTCGCCCTTGTCTTCTGTTGTTACACTATTACCTTTGTTATTTGGTTTAGTGATCTTCAATGTTATTTTGATTTTCAATACATCCCCTTTAACTTCGCCTAACTCATCTATTTCCTCACCTCTTAACTCTTTGTTATATATATGCTGAGTGGATTTTGCAAATTCCGGCTTAATAATACTTTGATAAAGCTATTAGCATTAAATAGCGAAACGTCAGTAAAAACAACAATATCATTTTGTTTTTCATTCATTGGGAAATACAAAAACCTTTATTAATATAATGAATATCATATACTCAATGTCCAAATTTTTTCAAACCGTTAAAAGTGAACTTGGTTTGGACATATATAACGCCTGACTACATTGTGGAACTATCAAAAAGGGGAAAGGCGATTTACGCCTTTACGCAACAACTGACGTGGAATAATGCTCTTGTCCACACCATACAAAATACTAAGTTACGTCATCCTCGGAGAAAATAAAAAGATGCACTGGATGCAGAACTCCGCTCCCAACCCTTCGGAACCAGTTGAATTCAGGAAAGGTAAATCATGCACACACTAAATAACAACTTTAAGCATTATCATTGTGAACAAAGCATAGAATGGCAGTCGAATCCCTGTCTCAACTTCCCCAACTATGAAAAGGCCTTAGACTGACAACGTTCACACCAAGAAGTAATATGGGAACTACTCCAACACTACAGCGTGCAGTATCCAAATCTCAACCAGTTTGATTCACCAGTTAGGTATATCAAATGACCAGAAAGAATTAGTAAGAAGAAACTCCGCAGTGGGACGAACCAACCAACCAAGATCCGATTGTTCAAAAAATAGGCAGAATAAAGTGGAGATGGATTCGACATACTCTGAAGATGTCATCGAATGAAATCACGCTTAATGCAGGCCATCGCTCGAATGGAATCCAAGTTTGAAGGGATGAGTGGGTCATCCGTTTGAGGATGACATGGATGAGATCGTGTGGCGGCTAGCCAGCTGAAGAGGACAGCAGAAGATAGAACAAAGTGGAGACGTGTTGTTGTTCCACTTGGAAACCAAGAGAATAACTAATAATACTAATAATAATATATACAAAGACTTACGTGATAGATTTCTTAGAATTTTCAATTAATTGTAATAAAAATGGTGCTAAATGTACAGGTTCTAATTCACCAGTTATACAATCGTATGCAGTTGCAGTCATTGGTAATAAACCAGTAAGAGTAGTAGGAGAGAAAGTACTCCCTTCAAATAATTCCATTGGTTGATTTAACAGTGAATTCTTGGTTATTCAAAAATAGCAAAGACAAAAAAAAGAAAAAAACTATCATTTTGATTTTGATTTACAGCTTAATTCCACACTGTATTTTTAGTACAAGTATGGAATTTTCAGCATGTGATATCATCAGGAGCCCAAATTTTGCAGGCCGACCATAAATATCAGGTGTGCGTCGGCAGGAGATCGAACCTCGGACCATGTGTATGGTCGGCGAGAGTCCTAACCACTGTGCTACCGACGCACACTGAGGGAAATTTTCAATAAAACTATCAATAAATAAAGGATACTGGTTGGAGGATTTCATCATGAGCTGACGCATCAGTTAGAGAGCCTGTAGAGAATACTGGACAGCCATTTCATTCTAGTGCTTGGGACTCTTCAACAGTACGCACCCCTTCCCTCAGTAGGTTCGAAGCCAGGACCTACTGATAACCTTCATGATGAAATCCCCCAACTAATCAAACTGAATCCCGACAAAAACCAATACTCGAAAATAAAGATATATTCTTTTAGCACACAGATTTTTGCAATCTATCTCCTATATTCAACGGTATAAATATGGTGAGGAATATTCACTTATAAACATACATACATACATTATAGTGAATGAATGAATGAATTAGTGTTATGAACAACATTCATGTTGTTTAAATAACATCAAATCATTAATGTTGATAGATTACAGCACAACAGCATCAAAATAAAATAAGCTGAATGTCAGAAGAATTAGGAAGGATAATATTACAGACTCATGAGTTTATAGCTTCTACTGAAGGCCAGGACAATAGTAGGGGCTGGACTTGCTTCTGTTGGACACAGCGAAGACCCTGAGCCACAGGGTTAGAGCTATATGCTCAGAAGAAGTAATTCAAGATGAATTAAGTAAGCATTGTATGTGATACTTTGATCGAAAATGGCTATCCCGAAAAATTTATCAAGAAACATATGACAAAGAAAGCAGCGGAAAAGGACTACTCACTGTCTGTAAACAAGAAGCCTCTTTATATACGACTACAATTCAAGGGCGATAATATACCAGGTGAGATAATTACGAAGAAATTAAGAAAGTCAATTTAAAGAACTTTTAATGCTGGCGAACTACACGTATTATTTTCTACACGACCGATGGTGATTCCTCGACTGAAAGATGAAGTACCTAGACTAGCCACTTCTAATTGTATCTATCAATTCAATTATATTGACCGTTGCTCTAGGAACTTGATTTTTCATGCTCACTCGAGAACATCTCCCAGCATGGCTAAGTAGTGTAGTGAAAACTATTAACAGCTCAATATTGGAACATCTGGTGCAAACAGACTAGCGTAGAAGAATCCCTCTCTATCATATACCGGGCGCCTAATAAATTTGCCAAAAACATAGAAGCAACGCAGGCTCCAAACAGCAGAGGCTATTGCGATTTGCTTCAAACAACCAGCACTCTGTGTCCAAAAGAAGCAAGTCCAACCCCTACTATTACCCTAGCTGGCCTTCAGTAGAAGCTATAAACTCATGAATCTGTAATATTATCCTTCCTAATGTTTCTGACATTCAGCTTATTTTATTTTGATGCTGTTGTGCTGTAATCTATCAATATTAATGATTCGATGTTATTTAAACAGCATTAATGTTGTTGTTCATAACACTAATTCATTCATTCATTCATTCACTATAATGTATGTACAACTGTAGAACCTGATAATGAAGAGCAGGTTATCGAAAACAGTACTCTTTGTTCCGTATCCATTCTTTTGAAAATTTTAACGGGCATTTTTAATCAGAAAAAATTTTATTTTCATAAATTCATACATAGTGGTGTTATACAGTAAGTAATATTTACTGATGACCACATTCGAGTACAATTTATGACTGCTAATAATCATCATATCAAGGCACTACCCACATACAACTTTCTTGCTCCGTTTATACACATCAGTAAAAACTTGATTAGACATTTGAATAAAATCAGTATAAGACTTGCATGAAACCGCAAAAAAAGAAGATGAAGTACATTCAGAAATAATATTAGTTTTTTTTTATTATTCGTTCGTAAGGATTAGATTTGATTTCACGAGTTGATCACGGATTAATATCAATTACAGAACAATTGAAAACCAGTCACAGGGAGTACTGGACAGGTGTTTCATCTCACTTGTTTGGGAATCATCGACAGTACGCACCCAGTGGCTGAATAGTATACGAGCTCTCTGGCCTTGTAACCGAAAGGTCTTGGGTTCGAACCCTAGTTGTGGGTGCGTACTGCCGATGATTCTCAAACTAGCGGGATGAAACAGCTGTCCAGTACTCCCTGTGACTGGTTTCCAATGGTTCTCTAACTGATATCAATCCGTGATGAATTCGCAAAAATAATATTAGTGTTATCAATCATATATAATACGATGGGAAATAAAACTAGTATTATAAGTCAATAAGATGGGAAATAAGATTTTTTTATGTTAAAAATAAGTAACTTGTTAAAATGTTCTAATGTGAATATCTCGACGGGCAATGTTAACTGACATTGGGTCAGGCTGGAAAAGAGGCAGCGAGCTGCGGTCAAACCAAAACATGGCCCTAACAGTCAATGAAATTCACAAAAGTTCGTTTAAGCCAGCCATATAGGAAGATGTAGACTGGCTGACTGGTTTGTATCCTCGGGAAAGTAAAAACCAATGGCTGCAGACAATCGTTTATATGGCTCAAATTCGTTATCAATGGCTCGTGCCGATGCATTTTTTGCTCCTTGTGAGTTCCAATGAAACTCTATTGTTCGTCGTTATTACCATTCCTTTTGTCTCATATCTTCGCCTACTGTCTTTATTTTGCATTACTTATAATTTTCTTTCTTGCTTTGTGTGCTACATGGAGGGAATGTGGCGACTTGAACTGCTGCACATCGGTGCAATGTTCTCTTTTGTGAAGTGAAATACATTCTAACAATATTTATTATTCTCCGATTTGACTAGTGGTAATAATATCTTCCAAACATATCTCTGGTATTTGCTTTGAGTCACTACTATTGAATGTAGAGTCGATGAACCGGGCAGGATTCAGTAATCTGTAAAGAGGAGAAGCGATCGAATTTTCTTCTTAAAATTCGATCGCTTCTCCTCTTCTCAACTCAAAAAGCTCCGCCGTGAAAAAAAGGTTGTTCAAAATGAAAAACAAATCTGGTGTTAAGAGAATGAACACTTTGATTAAGCTTGAATTACAAAGATTGAATGCTCTCTATAACCAGAAGTTTCTTTCATGTAAATAAATCCCCATCAAACATGTGGAAGTTATTAAAGGAAATCACAGGTGGTAAGCAAATGATGAATGATATTTCAGTAGATGTTAACATGCTTAATGAATCCTTCATATGTATCCCAGCAAATGTTATGATTCCTAACTCAAATAGTGTAAACAATGACTGCTTCTCATGCTTTAACACGAATGATGTCCTCAAGTGTCTTCAATCTCTCAAGCCTACTCAGTCTCTTGGTGCTGGTGGTGTTCCTGCTGTTATCCTTAAGAAGTGTGCGGACATCTTGTGTTCCCCGTTAACTGACATTTTCAACGAATCGTTTTCCAAAAGTATTATACCTGAATCATGGAAAATATCAAGATTCTTCCAGTGCCTAAATCAACAAGTGAACCTAATGTTAAGTTTAGACCCATTGCTATTGCCTCACCTTTTTTGAAAGTTATGGAAAGACTTATTTTACTTAATCTTGGACCCTCTTTAAAACCTTTCAATGACCTCAACCAGTTTGCTTATAAACATAGTAAGTGTACGTTAGATGCCGCTGTTGTACTACATCATACTATAGTCTCTAGTTAAGATAAAGGAGCTAAATACGTTCGCTGTGCTTTCCTTGACTACACATCTGCATTTGACTCTGTTCCTAGGTCTCTCTTGCTAAGTAAGCTTGCTGCAACACAGGCTGAGAGCTGGACAAATAAGTGGCTGCATTCCTATTTTTCTGATAGGAAGCAGTACACCGTCTACAATGGAAAGTCATCCACTACCTCACTTACTTTAGCAGGTGTTCCTCAAGGTGCTGTTCTTTCTCCCTTTCTGTTTTCGTTTTTCTTACATGACTTGCCTCATTCTGACGTAGCCACTTTTGTCAGGTATGCTGATGACCTCTCGGTTTCTATGCCTGTCAACTCTCAGTCAGACTGTTTCAAAATTAAATAACTTTCTGTCGGAAATTAGTCAGTGGTCCTCTTCAAACGGACTTAAGCTTAATCCGTCTAAATGTCAGGTAGTCAATTTCACTTTCAGACGTAAACGTGACCTACAACAACTAGTTAGCTCACATGGCCCCACTATCATTGACGGCACAGAAGTTGAAAATACACCTAATGTCAAATACCTTGGGCTGAGTTTTTCCACCGATCTTTCCTGGTCTTCCCACATCTTGCTAGTTACTAGAAAGATGTTTCGCTTAACGTTCTACATTAGGAAATTTAGGCAGCTTGGCATAAAGCAGTCTTTGCTTTCTCAGTTTGTAAATTCTTGTATTCTACCCCTCCTCCTTTACTGCTCCCCATCAATCTTTCCTGGACTACTTAAGAAAGACTTTGCTTTGCTGAGAAGGGCAGGCACTAAAAGCCGTTAGTAGGGAGGGCAAGTGGGATATGGTTAAACCAACTGGTGAACACTATTGTAGATAGACATATTATATCATGTAAGAAACTAGCGAATACAATATTGTCGGACCCCGAGCATCCTCTCTATACGTAGCTGTCTCCTTGCATTTCATCTGGTAGAACTAGAAGCAGCTATAGGAGGCTGGCTATATGCTAGGACTACCAAATACAAAAACTCCACAATACCATATCTGGCACAGCTGTTATGTGATGAGAAATCCGTTAGGTATGACACGATCAACTTACTGTGGCACTCTGACAAATAGTTCCCATTAGTTTTTCTTTTCCTTTCCTCGTTACTATTACACTATTGTTCTCATCTTCTATCACACATCAACTTTATATTTCATATCCTGTGGTGCATTGTT